TTCATCATTTCATTTCAACTTTTTGAAATTAAATTTTAGCATCGAAATCAATCAAAATGAATGAATGAAACTATGATGATATATTGTCAAAATTAAAAAGATCGAATAAATAGATCAAAGATATCGAATGTTTTAAATTTATGAAAAATGCTTCCCTCAAAGTATCATCAATATCAAAAAAAGGAAAAAAAAATGTGCATTGATAATTTCTTAACATCTTTTGTATTTTATTTTGATAATTTCAATTTTAAACGATATAGATCAAGAAGTATTAAAATTTGAATGAAGAAAAATGAGCCTAAATTATGTGAAGAAGTAAGAGCCTAAGCTATGAGAAGTATTAAAATTAAAAATGAGAAAAAAAAGAGCCTAAAATATATGAAAAAGTATTGAAATTTGAATGTCAAAAAAAGAAAGAGTCTAAATTATGCAAAGAAGTATTAAAATTGGAATAAAAAAAAAAGTGCCTTAACAAATTAAAACAAAAATAGTTTACTATCATTATTTTTTGTAAGCATTTACTACAATTTTTTTTTCCCAAGGATTTGAAAATGTTTAAATTAAAAAGAAAAAAAGAATTGTGGAAATTATTTTTTTTTAGTTATTCCACAAATTGCTATAAATATATCAGAAATGCTTGGCTTATTTTATGATTTAACAATGAAAAAATGGGAGCAAACAATTGTTACTGTTTTTTTTTTTTTTTTATTTTGCTAATAAATCATTGCGGAAAAGGGATGGAAAAAGAGCCAAGAGTTAAAATGGCTTTCATCAAAACATCATCAATAATTAGCATCTAGCATGTTATCTATTCATCAATCTATTTCCTTTTTTTTTTTTTTGGCTCATTCCTTACTTTCGTTAGAATTTACTTAAATTAGAATTAAAAATTTAATATAAAAGTTAATCTTTGATTCATGTTTATATTCATTTTATTTTTCGTTGATGACTTGATATGATAGTAAAATAATAATACTGATAACTTTGTGATAAAAAAAAATAGCAATTAATAAATGATAATGAATGATAATAAGTGTAACTAGATCATAATGGTTAAAATAATGTTATCAGTGTGTATATCAATATGATAATAATAAATGAAGCTTGTAAAAATGAATGAAACAATGATAAAAACAATTTTAAATGAGAAAAAAAATTCGCTCATTATACATTTGCATAATTGTTTATTAAAATTAAAATACAAATAGTAATTGAAGCATAAGAAAATGAACATTGAACATAATTTAATAATTAACATATATGTTTTTTTAATTAATTAAGTTTGAAATTAGAACATTAATTGAATGAATCAAAAAAGATATTATTTGCTAGATCTCTCATATATATATATGTTAGGTCTTATAAAAATAAAATTTTTGCCAGGCCTTCCATATATATATATATATATATATATATGTATATATGAGAGGCCTGGCAAAAGAAGCCATAACAAAATGTTACTCGTCAGCTTGGCTTAGTAGATGTGAAAAGAGCTGAAACGGAAAATAAGCCAGAAAATAAAGGAGCAAATGAACGATTATTTCATACGCTTCAACAAATAATAACACCCTTTTAAGAGAAGTCCAACCTACGCCACCATTTCGAATATTTTCATTTTTCTTAGGCTATCCTATCTAAGAATGCATATACACATAATTAGTACATATTATTGGTTTATATCCTAAAATTGAGATAACTTTTCCGTAAACACTTCCGGTGAATTGAATTTTGGTAAACTGAAATATCTTCCGGTAAATTGGAATAACTTTTAACTTTTCAACGAGCTGAAATAACTTTTCGGCAAGCTAAAATTACTATCGGTAAATTGAAATTATTTTCGGTAAATTAAAATAATTTTTGGCTAAATTGAAAAAACTTTCAATGAAATGAAATGATTTCCGGTAAATTGAAACAATTTTAAATGGATTGAAACAGCTATCAGTAAAATGAAATAACTTTTTGACAAATTAAAATAACTCTCCGATGAGCTGAAATAACTTTTCAGTAAAGTAAAGTTATTTTCAGTGGAAAATTAAATTACAATTACTGGAATACTTTCTAATTCCTGGCCTCATAACGATCAGTTAGAGAGGAAGAAAAAAAAAGTTGCAGAAAAGAATTTGAAAAAAAAAAAATTGGAAACAAAAAAAACCTGAAATGGTTAAAATTGTCAATAATTTCGATGAAATTAATTTTATATAAAAAAGAAAAGAGAAAAATGGGGAAGAATGTAAGTGAAAAAGAAAGGAATTTGAAAAGAGATGAATTAATGATCATAATTTCCAATAACGAAAGAAAAAAAAAGAATTAAAAAAAAAAAGAAAATTAAAATATGGAATTGTCCTTCGGAGAACGAATTATCAGAAATCCGTTTTTTTTAGCGGATGGTCAGGAAATAAAAAGAAAAACCGGGCAGAATTTGCAGAGGAATTTAAATTTTCTTTTTCAAAATAATTTTTGAAATAAATTTATGAAAAATTATTACCAATAATAAAAAATAAGTAAGTAACGAATAATAATTAGCATGAATGAAATTGTGCATTAATTAAATAAATTTATATTTAGTAAATGTATAATGAATGAGTAAAAATTAAGGAAATAATATATATTAAATGAAATGGTATATATTGATGAAATAGCATATATTAATTAAGTAAATATTTCATAAGTGTACGAGTAAATGAATAAAGTAAATGTGAAAAATTAAGAAAAAAAAAGATCAAATTATATGAATTAGATTTACACTCTTATTACTTCTAAACAAATTTTTGAATAATTCCAAAACCCCAAAGGATTTATTACGAATAATCGTAGAAATGGATAAAGATTAGAAAAAGAGGGGAGAGTAATTTAAGACATTTTAAGTTTGTATACTTATATATATATATTTTCTTGCTTTGTTCTTCAATAATTTATGCAAAAATTCCCACTGGATAGAGTAGAAAGCAAAATATGGTTATCATCGAATTCATCATTCATCTATTTGAAAATATATGAATGCCAATCATATCAGTAATAGAGTAGTTGTTGCCTTAGTGAAGAATTATTATTATTAGTATTATTTGGTTTCAGAAAATACTCTTTTTCTCCTTGCTTATAGTAGTTTCAAGCTTTTTTGGACTTTTTTTTTTAAATCTAATGCTATCATTTTTAGCAATTTTAGCAGTAAATAGAATTGAAAGAGAGAGAGGATGGAAAGGACGGAATTATTCTTGCTTGTTCAATTTTCTTCAGTTCCTTTTTTATTTTCTTACAAGTAGGATTTTTTGTTGATTCCTGAATAATCCATCAATTTATCAACCAAATACTTAGTTTTTGACGTTATTCCACAAACGGTTTAATAGAAGTTATTGAATAACAAATAAAAATTATCCACTAGTAAACAAACAGACTACTTCGATCAACAATACTTTTTTATTGATTGCAAATCAAAACATACAAAAAAACATGTAACAGAAGTTTCCACATATTAAAACCACTTCTTCGTTATCACAATAAAATGCTACTTTGTTGGTAACAATTCCCTGTAAAAAAAAATTAAAGATTCAAAAATCTAAAATCATGACCTAAATGGCTTGATGAACAGATGGATCCACACCTTTATCATGATAGACAGCGCTACCAGTACTGGAAGTTATCAATAGCCCATCAATCTAATTTTTTAGATTTCTAAAATTTGTCGAAAAATTTGGACCACACCAGTCCACTAAATATGTTAGAATTGATAAGTTACCGAACTGATTTTCTTAGTAGATATGGCAGTGGATAAACTGAGACCCAAAAGCAAAATTTTACACATAAAATACTGAACTAGATCCTCAACAAATCAACAGCAACAGCTTTATCTAATACATTTTGAATTTACTTCCAAAACTGTGAATTTGAATGCTACATACTACTAGATTCAGTAGTAATGCAATGGCTCAAAACATGCCTATC